TTTCTTCAAAACATGAAGTTAGAATAAATTTCACTTACTCCTTCTTTAATTAGTTTGCACCAAAATAATTGATATACAATCCATATTTCTAAAGTTGAACCTCAAACAATTTTCCTTTAATATTTCATTCTTCTGCACTAAAACAAATGATATTTAATCTATTCTTCAAAACATGACCTTAAAACAAATTTCACTTACTTCTTCTTTAATTAGTTTGCACCACAACAATTGATATACAATCTTTATTTCTAAAGTTGAACCTCAAACAAATTTCCTTTAATCTGTTTATATATTTTGCACCAAAACAATTGATATATAATATTTCTTCAAAACATGAAGTTAGAATAAATTTCACTTACTCCTTCTTTAATTAGTTTGCACCAAAATAATTGATATACAATCCATATTTCTAAAGTTGAACCTCAAACAAATTTCCTTTAATATTTCATTCTTCTGCACTAAAACAAATGATATATAATCTATTCTTCAAAACATGACCTTAAAACAAATTTCATTTATTTTTTCTTTAATTAGTTTGCACCACAACAATTGATATACAATCTATATTTCAAAAGTTGGACCTCAAACTAATTTTCTTTAATTTGTTTATATATTTTGCACCAAAACAATTGATATATAATATTTCTTCAAAACATGAAGTTAGAATAAATTTCACTTACTCCTTTTTAATTAGTTTGCACCAAAACAATTGATATACAATCTATATCTGAAAAGTTGAACCTCAAACAAATATCCTTTAATATTTCATTCTGCTGCACTAAAACAAATGATATTTAATCTGTTCTTCAAAACTTGAACTTAAAGCAAATTTTATTTATTTTTTCTTCTATTAATTTGCACCAAAACAGTCGATATACAATCCATATTTCTAAAGTTGAACCTCGAACAAATTTCTTTTAACATTTACATTCTTATGCACTTAAATAAATGATATTTATCTATTCGAAACTTGAATTTAACACAAATTTCATTTATTTTTTCTTCCATTAATTTGCACCAAAACAATTGGTGTACAATCTATATTTCTAAGGTTGGACCTCAAGCAAATTTCCTTTAATATTTCATTCTTCTGCACTTAAATAAATGATATTTAATCTATTCTTCAAAACTTGAACTTAAAACAAATTTCATTTATTTTTTTTTAATTAATTTGCACCAAAACAATCGATATACAATCTTTATTTCAAAAATTGGTGCTCGAACAAATTTCCTTTAATATTTCATTCTTCTGCACTAAATCAAATGATATTTAATCTATTCTTCAAAACTTGATCCTAAATCAAATTTTATTTATTTTTTCTTCCATTAATTTGCACCAAAACAATTGATGTAGAATCCATATTTCAAAGGTTGGACCTCAAACAAATTTCCTTAATATTACATTCTTATGCACTCAAATAAATGATATTTAATCTAGTCTTCAAAACTTGAACTTAAAACAAATTTTATATATTTTTTCTTTAATTAATTTGCACCAAAACAATCGATATACAATCTTTATTTCAAAAATTGGTCCTCAAACAAATTTCCTTTAATATTTCATTCTTCTGCACTAAATCAAATGATATTTTATCAATTCTTCAAAACTTGATCCTAAATCAAATTTTATTTATTTTTTCTTCTATTATTTTGCACAAAAACAATTGATATACTATTCCTTTAATATTTCATTCTTTTGCACTAAAACAAATGATATTTAGTCTATTCTTGAAAACTTGAACTTAAAACAAATTTCATTTATTTTTTCTTCTATTAATTTGCACCAAAACAATTGATGTAGAATCCATATTTCAAAGGTTGGACCTCAAACACTATTCCTTTAATATTTCATTCTTTTGCATTAAAACAAATGATATTTAATCTGTTCTTCAAAACTTGAACTTAAAGCAAATTTTATTTATTTTTTCTTTAATTAATTAGCACCAAAACAATCGATATACAATCTTTATTTCAAAAATTGGTCCTCAAACAAATTTCTGTTAATATATCATTCTTCTGCACTAAATCAAATGGTATTTAGTATATTCTTCAAAACTTGAACTTAAAACAAATTTCATTTATTTTTTCTTCTATTAATTTGCACCAAAACAATTGATGTAGAATCCATATTTCAAAGGTTAGACCTCAAACAAATTTCCTTTAATATTACATTCTTATGCACTCAAATAAATGATATTTAATCTAGTCTTCAAAACTTGAACTTAAAACAAATTTTATATATTTTTTCTTTTATTAATTTGCGCCAAAACAATCGATATACAATCTTTATTTCAAAAATTGGTCCTCAAACAAATTTCCTTTAATATTTCATTCTTCTGCACTAAATCAAATGATATTTATCTATTCAAAACTTGAACTTAAAACAAATTTCATTTATATTTTCTTCAATTAATTTACACCAAAACAATTGGTGTACAATCTATATTTCTAAAATCGAACCTCAAGCAAATTTCCATTAATATTTCATTCTTCTGCACTTAAATAAATAATATTTAATCTATTCTTCAAAACTTGAACTTAAAACAAATTTCATTTATTTTTTTTTAATTAATTTGCACCAAAACAATCGATATACAATCTTTATTTCAAAAATTAGTCCTCGAACAAATTTCCTTTAATATTTCATTCTTCTGCACTAAATCAAATGATAATTAATCTATTCTTCAAAACTTGATCCTAAATCAAATTTTATTTAGTTTTTCTTCTATTAATTTGCACCAAAACAATTGATGTACAATCCATATTTCAAAGGTTGGACCTCAAACAAACTTCCTTTAATATTACATTCTTATGCACTTAAATAAATGATATTTATCTATTCAAAACTTGAACTTAAAACAAATTTCATTTATTTTTTCTTCAATTAATTTACACCAAAACAATTGGTGTACAATCTATATTTCTAAAATCGAACCTCAAGCAAATTTCCATTAATATTTCATTCTTCTGCACTTAAATAAATGATATTTAATCTATTCTTCAAAACTTGAACTTAAAGCAAATTTTATTTATTTTTTCTTCTATTAATTTGCACCAAAACAATTGATGTGCAATGTATATTTCTAAAGTCGAACCTCAAACAAATTTCCTTTAACATTTCATTCTTCTGCACTAAAACAAATGATATTTAATCTATTCTTCAAAACTTGATCTTAGAACAAATTTCATTTATTTTTTCTTTAATTAATTTGCACCAAAACAATCGATATACAATCTTTATTTCAAAAATTGTTCCTCAGACAAATTTCCTTTAATATTTCATTCTTCTGCATTAAAACAATTGATATATGAACTCTTCTCAGTATCTGAGACTTCAATTAATTTTTCTTAACTCTTTCGGTCTTCAGCACTAGAAAAAATGATATATATATTCTCTTCTAAGTAACTTAAAATTTATATAATTTCTTTAATTATATAATTTAATTATATTTTTAATTATATTTATATTTTTTTTTTCAACGCGCGTTGCTGTCTAAGGGCCTCTTTAGGCCTTTTAATTACTTCTAAAAGCAGCACCACACTTAAACATTTTTTCTTTAAGCAAAAATTATTGGTTAATTTGAATAAAAAATAAAAAGCTTGCTGATATGTTCCTCCTATTTTTTATTTGAAAATCGCCTGTATATGTTTGATGTGTGATGATGAATAAATTAATTTTAAAAAATATTTTTAGGGACAATATCGTCCTCAAATTTTTCTGTTTTATAAAGAATTTTTTTACATGTTGAAATTAAAATATAATACATTCTAATATATTCTTTTAAAATTTATGCGTCGGAAATATAGTACGCATGTGCTTGATGTGTTTTGTGGGAGAAAAAAATATTTGTTTTTTTTTTTGAAACGCTATTCTAAAAAATTTTTAAAAAAATTTCTTAAGAAATGAATTTCAATAATTTTGTTTGAGATACGGGTCAACCAAATCAGAGGGCATGAGTTCATGTTTTGCTAAACAGTGTCCGATTTTTGAAAGGATGACCCGTGTACATTATGTGTATTCACTCTGTCTTGCAAACCCATTGCAAGCTGCACGAAATGTTTTTTATGTGTAATCCTTGCATTTTCAAACAAAGTTTCGTGTTAAGTTGGGTGTTGTTGTTTCTTGCATTTGATGGTTCGAAAAAAGGTACTAAAAAATTCGTTTTGAAATAGTTGAATTCATATATCATCATTTCATATTTGCTTCGCACGCAAATACTCTTCTCAAAAATTTGCAATTTTATCATTTCACGTTTAACATTAGTATACTATATAGATTATTTCGTAAAAAGAACAGAACGAACAACTTTTTTAACTATTGAGTTGACTATGAATAAATATTCGCGAATTTTTAAAAATGAAATATTTGTGAACAACAATTTAAAAGGTAAGTTCGCATTTCAATTTTTTTATTACAATTTAATTGATTATTTAATGTTTTTTATAAAACTATGTAGGAATACAAAATAATATAAACTACTAAAAATATGAACAAATTATTAAAAATAAAGTATTTCATACATTTAGAGTTTGCATTATGTTATAGTTACACCAAATATTAACAAATTCAATATAAATATTAAAAATAAACTTTGTCTCATTTTATTCAAAATAATACATTACAAAAAGAAAAATAATTAAATATAAACTCCACAAGTTTAAATAAATAAAATCAAAAACACAATTATTAAAAGTAAAGAAATGATTATATTTCAATAACAACAACATGTACCACTCTAAAACAGAAATAGTGGCGCACACCACTTTATACATATGCACACGAATTTGAGTTTGTTTGACATTTACTTTTCGACTTCGTACAATTCCCTTCCTTCTTCTCACTTTATGATATTATATAAAAATTATTATCAATATGCGAAAGCAAACATACGATATGCAGAAGCCATATGCGTTTTTCTCTATAATCAAATACACTTATTGTTGCAGAATATATAAAAACCGATAACATTTTAACATTAAAAAAGAAACTCACTTCTTTGGTTTCATAAATTTCAAGTCTTTATTTCATGTATTTCACTTAATGTTTTGCACGAATTAAAATTGAACTCACGCACTCTTGAAGCTTTATAAAATTAATACAATTTTTTGCTTATAGGTATAACTTTAATTGCCTCTTTGGTTGGGCAATAGGCGAGGATGACAAAAATTCATCACGACATGTGATTCAAATTGATCAAGGTGGCCTGACATTACCAACTCCAGAATATTACAACAACAAAACAGACATTCATCGAAAAGTTTTAAAAGGATATATTGAGTATAACAAAATAATTTTTTATTTATCATAAATATCAAAATTTATAATTTTAGTGTACATAGCCTAATCTCACAAATATAATAGAACCTATTTGTATATACAGTGAGCGACAAAACTCTACATATACCCCCCATTTTTGCTAGCTCGTAAACCCAAAGACATCATGGTGGCGGTGCTCTGCTCAAATGGGAGCTAATACCCTGTTCTTTCTTATCTTCTTATCTTAAATCCAAAGACATAATAGAAAAAAGTAATGATGCACTTTTGTTTAGAACTTTTTTTTTAATAATAATAAACAAAAGAAAATTCATTCATTAATATAAATTAACGAAGTTATTCAAAAAAACATAAAAAAATCATTGACAAAAGTCTACATACACTTCATTGATTGTTACATTTAGTCGATAGTAATTTAAATATTAAACGGGAAAGTGCCGTTTTTCATATTTAATGCTTGTGGCATAAGTCATAAATTTATATAATGCACTTAGTTGTGCTTTGTGAGTGGTATTTAATTGACACGATGGCTCCACAAAAAGAAATTAAAAGTGATATGCGAAATGTCTTTGTTAAGTACTGAAATGAAAAAAACCTTATGGTGAAATATCAAAATCAGTAAATTTGACTCGATCAATAGTTCAGACTATAATAAGATATTATAAAAATATTGGTTCTACTGAAAATAAGCCTCGCAGTAGCCGCCCAAGGAAACTCACTCGTAGGGATGTCAGCTTGGTTTTAAAAGAAGTTGACAAAAATCCAAAAGTAAGTGCCTTAAAATTACTCGAACACATAGCTAGTGCAACTGGAAAGCATGTCAATCCACGTGCAAAGAACGTTAAACAGCCACGGTTTTCATAGTCGAATACCACGCAAAAAACCTCTAATTTCTGAAAAAACCGAAAGCTGTGGTTGGAGTTTGCCGAAAAATATAAAGAAAAGGATTCTAATTTCTGGAAGCAAGTTTTGTTTACAGATGAATCCAAATTCAAAGCGAAAACAGCACTGAACCCGAAGCATATAATGCCAACTGTAAAGCATGGTGGTGGCAGTGTTATGGTTTGGGGAGCCGTAGCTGCAACTGGAGTAGAGAAAATAGCTTTTATTGTTGGCAATATGGATCGGTACCAATACAAAGATATTTTGGGTCATAATTTAAAAACAATCGGTTGAAATTTTGGATCTTGGCAGTGGTTGGATCTTCCAACAAGACAATGATCCAAAACATACTGCCAAGATTGTTAAGGATTGGCTTTTGTGTCATGCTCTGCGACAGTTAAATACACCACCACAAAGCCCGAATTTAAATGTTATTGAACATGTCTGGGAAATTTTAGAACGCAAAATCAGAAAACATCAGTTTTCTAGTGCCGCAGTACTAAAAGAGCGCATTTTAGAGTCTTGGAGAGCATAACACCAACTGACTTAACAAATTTAGTGAATTCAATGCCGCGACGACTTCAAGCAGTCATTGATGCGAAGGGTGGATCCACTAAGTAATAAAAATCAAAAAAAAATTTTTTTAATTAAATTATTATCGTCTAATTGTAACAATCAATGAAGTGTACGTAGACTTTTGTAGATGATTTTTTATGTTTCTTTCGAATAACTTTGTTAATTCATATTGATTAATAAATTTTCTTTTGTTTATTATTATTAAAAAAAAGTTCTAAACAAAACTGCATCATTACTTTTTTCTATTATGTCTTTGGATTTATGAGCTAGCAGAAATGGGGGGTGTATGTAGAGTTTTGTCGCTCACTGTATATGTATATGTAATAGAATATGGCAGAACCTGTGAGTACATGTGGAAAAAAATAAATCGATTCTAACTTTGTTTTTAAAAAATATTCTTCTCTTGCTTCGGCAATGAAGTAATTTTAAATAATTAGTCATTTTTAGTTTATCTCATTAACGAACTGTTTTATTACTTGAATATATAGTTGGTTGAATTAAAATATAGTTCAAAATTATGTGGTTTAGTTTTATTATATATTATTAATGATGCTTTATTAAGAAATAGCGATTTATTTAAAAGTACCCACTAACGAAATGTAAAAACGCGAACTAAAGGGAAATTCACGTAAATATTTATGTAGATACTCGTACGTAACTGTACGATGTTAAAGCGAAACAGAACATTACATTCTTTTCTCTTTGATTACGGGTTGCGTTCTGGCAGAAAAATTATTTTACGTTTTGTCATATTGATTTATTTAATTAATTAAATGTTAACTAAACAGTTTTTTTAAAACCTATTACAGCATAAGTAATTTTTTATATTTTTTATAATTATTATTAAAGACATATGACCAAAAATTATTTTACGTTTTGTCATATTGATTTATTTAATTAATTAAATGTTAACTAAACAGTTTTTTTAAAACTTATTACAGCATAAGTAATTTTTTATATTTTTTATAATTATTATTAAAGATATATGACCAAAGTTTGTATTTTGTTGGGTGCCAATGAAAATGATGCAAAAATACAAATGGAAAATATTATTGCTTTTGAAATGGAATTGGCAAAAATTTCTACACCATTTGAAGATCGTCGTAATGAAGAAGCCATGTATCATTCTATGAAACTATGGGAGTTAGAAAAATTAGCACCGTTCTTAAATTGGACTGAGCATTTCGATGACGCTATGAAACTTATTAATGGGCATATTACACAAAATGAGGTGGTTGTTGTATACGCATCAGATTTTTTGAAAAATTTGTCAAAAATAATTAATAATATGCAAAATACTAACGAAGGCAAAATGTAAGTAAAAAACTTGATACTGATATCGCATGTAATACCTATAACAAAAATCTATTACAAAGACCTTAAAAATTGATGTCTCTTGAATTGTAAAAGAAGTAAAGCACATGGTCAGATATATTATATGTCATACATAATTAAAACTATCTTTCATAAAATAAAGTTTGACTACAGAAATATATCTGTATGAACTTCAAGAAAAATTTAGTTGTTGGAAAAATTTATTTGTGAGAAATATCTTATTATCTCCGGTCATAACACCATATGCTTAAAAACTATAACATATTGAAAACTATTAGTGTGATTAAATTAATCAATCTTCTGTTTAAGATTTCATGAGAGCTTATTTTAAGTCTTAAACAGAAGAGTGATTAATTTAATAACGCTAATAATTTTCAATATGTTCACTATACTATATAATCTCAAATAGAAAAGTGTACTAGAGGAGCATGTAGTAGCATTAGAATTACGGCGAGGTACAATTCAGCTTGATAGGTCGCATACGTAACACCATTTCCATTAGTACCAGATTAGCACAATAGAGACAAAACGTGTGCTACTACTATGTCAAGAAGAGCGGCAGTCACGATATGTAGACATCCCTATGTGTTGACTGGCAATGTGAGTAACCAGAAAAACTAAGGTCGTTGTCGTGTTATTGTGCAGCAACCGGTATAATAGAAACTACATTGCATTTATTTAATTGCAACTCCAATAAACACTTCAACAAACAGGAGAAAAAATTTACTTTTGTTTTGGGATTACGAAGCTTCTTTGCCTGGTACTTCACAGTAGTTAGAGTTGAAGTACTTGGAGTATTTGGGAAAGGTTTCTTGACTAACAAAAACTCTACTGGAGAGCTTACGGAGCTTTTGGAAGACAAATGCACACACCAAATCTGACCGGAATAGGACATTCAGTTCCTAAGGAATATAACGGAAAGGATATATATGAACAGTATTATCAAACATTGACATTCACCGTAAAACGATTCACAAATATTTTAAAGGCACATGGGCTCAAACTTCAAGAAGATCGCTTTCGCATCTCACGGCACCGACGGCAGAAACCCACCAAATGACCAGACCGTATCAAAGCTATTAAGGAGTTCCAAGACAATATCTGATATTTGCCGATTCTTATACATTTCGAATCACTATCGCATGTCCACAACTGCAGGCATCACTGAACGAGCTACTGAAGGGTATTATAGGGTATGACAAGAGATATTTTGGCACAGCTTGTTAGAAAAAGCTTTCGAAGATTGAAAGTTAAGCATACCAACACAGACAAAACTTACATCATGTCAACCTTAACTAACAATAAACGCATTCATTTATTATCATTTATTTATTAAACAAAAAAAAAAGATTTTGATATTTAATAATTATGTTTTTAAACAATGAAGAACTTTTTCAACCACATTAAGTTCAAATATGATATTGACAAATGCGCAGACATGAAATTGCAGAAAAAAGAAACAATTAGTAAAATAAATAGAGCATCTTAAATTTCTTATAACTTGTAAAGATTATGGCATTATACATTATACAATTTTTGACGAATACGACCAAAAAAATATCAAATAATTTAAACTGAATACACACAAAAATACTTTTCATAATATAGAATTTAACTTCCTATCAAAACTATTAAAACATGAAAAGCCACAAAAAAATAGTAACATAAAAACTTTACGAAAAAACATTATTATTAAGTAAGGGATCGTGCACTGCGACCTAAAAGATCTATTGTGCCAACATAAAAAACATAAACCAATTAGAATTACATTTAAAACGCACACTCAACATTGATGAATACAAAACGTTCATGCACAGACAAAATATAACATCAGAACACCTTTATCAACAATCAAAAACATCATTAGATAATACAATTCTTAAACTAAAAGACAGCATGTTTCTGTCCTTTGGTTTCAAATTGAATGAGGATTGGTTTACTAACTAACTGATATAATTTTTCCTAAAGAAAGTCGTTGGTTATTATCCTTGGGTAAAAAATTTGCTCTACCTGTGAATAAAAATAATTTCTCAAAACTACATTTCATAGCGAACGTAGAACAAGGCATTCAAAATATTAAAAATGAAAAAGTAAAGGAACTTACTCGAACTAAAACAGCTCATAATTTAATGAACTTCAATCATCAACATAAAAATAGCAATAGAGAAAAATTCATTCTTAAAACATACAGTGGCTCTCAGCTTATTTTATCCAACACCAAATTTAAAAGTTGTTACGCTATTACTGAAAAACTATGTCATCGATTGAAAATATTTAATTGCCATTTTTAAGAAAAATGAAATTATTATTTAATTTATAAACTTGAAAAATACCGAAAATATTGTTTTAATAAATAATTAAAATACTCCTATTTTAATGCCTCAGCTTATTTCATCCATAAAAAGAAATTTCATTTGATTCCAAAGTCAATACTTGGTATGATACCCTTTCGCTTTTATCACTTCATCAAGTCTCTTTGCCATTGAACCTACAAGTTTTTGGGTTATTTCTGGAGCTATTTGGGTTGTTTCTGAAGCAAGAGTGGATGAGTTTTGTAAAGTAGCCTTTTTTAAGTCATCTTTGTTGGAAATAGTAGCTGCGTTTCAGCAAACATGATCCGCTCAATGATCTGAATCATCTTTGCTGAAACGATACGGATCACGTTTGAAAATAATTGGCAACGCATGAAATATGCCAGTTGGGTTTGTGTACAAAATTTTTGGATTTATGTGAATAATTTTGGCGCTAAAAAAATAAGTGAGAAAATTTTGAATACAAAAAATCTAAAACTTGGAAAATAAATAAAATCTGTTGAAATGTCTGAAGTACGAAATGTAAGTTTTTATTTAGTATTTACTTAAAAACATAAATTTAATTCTATAGTATATAAATGGAAATTGCAGATTTTATTAGAATTATCGAGCAAAACTGACTCCTCCATTTTCTTTTTAAACACTAGTCCAAGTGTATTAAGCTGAAGGGATGAAGTGCATCAGCATGGATATAGTGGAAATTTTATGGAAACGATCAATAATTGTTCCGTTAAAGATTATTTGATTGGTATTTGCGCATATAAAATACAATTGCTATATATTAATTATGTTTCATATTCTAATAGATTTGTTAATAAAATCCAATCAGCAAATACAAAATAACCGTGGTGGTCACAATTGGACGAGAGCAATGAAGAAAATTTACATATTTTTGTGGTATATGGCAAATATAAATACTTTTCGCGAATTTGGTATTTGTTTTGGCATACCAAAAGCTTCTGTATGGAGAATAATTGAAAGAACTAGTGTTTAGCTTATATCAATTGCAAAATTTCCGTTCGTGATTGACAGCACACATGTTAAAATAAATGCACCTCACCTTAGCAATTAGGCGTATTTCAAAAGGAAGCATGAATATAGCTTAAACTTGCAAGCAGTTTTCAATGGTTTTTTTTATAAACGTGTATGTTGGAGAGCCTGTTTCCTTATGTATTGTTCTGTTTTAATTAAATAAATGTATTCAACTTAATGTTTATATATTCATTTCAAATTAATTGATTTTCATAAATTATCAAACAACACTTTTTTAATAATAATAAAACGTAAATAATTAAAGTAATAATTTTAATTAATTTTAATAATTTTAATTTATAGTAATAGTAATAATTAAAACATAACTTCAACCAAAGAAATAAATAATAATGACATATTAAATAAATAAGTACATAAAATAAATAATAAATAAATAAAATCAATAATAAATAAATATAATTGTAGATTTGTTTATAATTTTACTACACCGTTGCATCGCATTGCCAACCTCATTTGCATTAAAATACGTTCCACTTTTATCTTTTACATACATTCCACATTGAACCAGAAAGTGAACCAGATCAATTGCTGGTTCACCCCATTGTTTTTGTTTTGCATGTAAAATTGAGCGGATCATGTTTGCTAAAACGCAGCTAGTATATTGCCGAATGTTTTGTTCTAATATTGGACATAAATTGTTAATGACATTCATGTCTGGGCTCTGCGCCAACGGTGTCATCAGACGTGGGCAGTTCCAAATCAACCAAGACTGTACAAACCCGGCCTTATGTTTTGGGTCGTTGTCTCTCGACTGTTAAAGTGGGAGTGTCGAAGCACATGGCGGACAGTTTTTACATTGCACGTCTTGCCTAGTTCTATCCGTAACTTCCTGACTATATCAGAAGCTTTTAATTTTGGATTCCACTTGATTTTTCTAACAATATATCGATCGTCAGCTGAGTTGAAAATTTTATTTGGTGCACTTCTGCCCATATTTTGAATCCTATTCTCACGAATAAAGCGATTAATGATGATCTGTACGGTGGATGGACTCAAATTAACTAATTCCCTAATTTTCCGCTGAGGTTGACCGTCCATGAAATAGGTTAGAACCATTTCTCTGTGCTCAATTGTAGTGCGTCTTCCCATGTTTTAAAACATTTCTTATTTATTACTAATTCAAATTAATTGTATTTAATTACTAATCCAAAATTGTACAAAATTTTATTACATTTGATTGGAAATACTTTAAAAATATTACAGGCAAAAAAATCCCGTTGCACAGCGCGACGTACTAGCGACTAAGTCCAAATGATAATTGGATGAAATAAACTGTGAGCCATAATTCTGTTACGCGATCGGGTTTTTCCTCTTTGAACGAAACAAATTTTATTATGTTCAATAAATATGCCTTTCTTCAATTACATTAAAAACTTAATTTTTTTCTAATTCATTTTTAAGATACAGTGTTTTAAAAATTTAAAACAGTGTTGGATGAAAAAAGCTGAGAGCCACTGTATGATAACCGTCAAAAAATATTAAACATATACAAAAAGGATATTCTCATCATGGAATCGGATAAAGGTCAAAAAACAGTAGTATAGTATATGAATAAAATAACATCATTACTAGATGACAAAAACACATTTAAAACATTACGCACAGATCAAACTAATAAATTGATAACTATTAATAACAATATAATAACAGATTTTACAAACAGAAACTAATAACAACACAACAAAAAAACACTTGATATGTACTACAGCTAA